AATCAAAACAATTAATACCAAAAAAGGAATATTGGTCTTTAACATGTAATAATAATAATAATAATAATTAAAAAAAACGAATTAAGGACGAATTTGAAAATAATTTTAAAAATAAAAAGCGAAAATTTGAGTTCGGTTGGTGTTTTTGAAAGAAAAATTGAAAATAAAGAATTAAAGTGCAATTAGAGAAAGTTCGACCATGTAAGATTGCCCAGTCAACAGCTTCGACGAACCAGAATGCGCTGCGTGGCCAGACGCGTTGACATTGGTGCCACATAGGAGGCCATACTGGCGATCCGAGTACCCCGTGATCGGACGGCCCAGGATCGATCTCGCTCGTGTGGATGATTCGGATCCGTTTCTCCCTTAAGTACGATCGAATGGTCGAGATCAGACATGATGAACGATCCAGATTCGTTTTTCCTTTAGGCGCGATCGACGATCAAGATCAAACATGATAAGCAGTTCAGATTCGTTTCTTCATTAGGCGCAATTGAACGGACGAGATCGATCAGTATGAACGGCCCAAATTAACCCGGGATGAGTATAAATATTTCGCATCACGCAAAATTCGAACTCTAACTGCCAGCTCCCCGCCAGAAAAGAAGAACCAGACGTCGAAGAATGAAGCCGACCATCGATTGTCGTTGCACCGGAGCCACTCTAACCGCCCAAAAAGGTAAAAATTCTTTCACCCGCTCAAAATTCGATTCTGAGCACCCTTGTGGCCATATCAGAGCAAAACAAATGGCAAATGAGCCAAAAATTGTGGGCAAAACCCAGCGGGGCCGGCGCGGCCCAAAACCTGCAACCTCATTCGATGAGCGTTTTTTCGGTTCTTGTTTCGTGCGATTTTTTCACCATTGTATTCACCGTTCTATTTTCTACAGGTTGACCGAAGGAGGAATCCCAGCCGCAAAAGAGAGTCGGCAGAGCCGCCGCACTCAAAAATCTCGCCACCGGTAAATTTTAGTTTTTTGATTTTTTTGGCGAACCGAAGCTCCATAACGTGTTTTTTCGCATGGATATGTGTAAAGTCAGCCAAAACTGACATAAATAGGCCAAAGACGGCCAGACTAAGGTAAACTACCGCTGCGGGCAGTAGTGCCGTCGCCAGAGCACGGCAGCGCCGCCTTGCCAGAATCCCGAAATTGGTTGAAAGGGATTTTTAACACCAATTTTGAGTTCTTGTGTTATTTTATTAGGTAAGTGAAGCGTGTTTAATCTTCGCAGAAAAATTCAAGAAATCCAGAGACCACTAGGAGATGCAGTAGAAAGTATAGTCTTTCGAACACTGATTCATGTAAGAATCTTTCACCATATTTTCTGTTATAGAATTGAAGCTTAAAAATCAATAATATGGTATTCTGTAGAATTTAAAAAATTTTGAAAATAATTATAAGTCACTAATGGAGCTGGAATCGGTTAGTTGTTTATTTATCCTATTTAACTTATTACTTGCTCGTACAACTTTAAATACATGATAATATATTGAAATAGTTAAATGATTCAATTGTATTTTCTTGATACATATATCACTTGTTTTACGTGATTTACAGTTGATTGTGAAATGTGAAATTAACATACAGATATGAAATTGCTTGATGATGTAAATTAATAAATAGTTGTCTTACTGGATATTTTGAGAGATGGTGGACGAATTAGGTACATAGGGAACCTTACCGTGAATATCACCTCATACTGGATGGGGTATCGAAGGATGATATTTTTGGCGCTCATACCGGATAGGGTATGAGGACGACCTAGTTCACCCTCATACCAGACGGGGTACCAAGAGATGACATTTTGGCGCTCATACCGGACGAAATATGAGGACGGCCGAATAATCGATAAGTTTAGATATTGGGTTCACGCGTAGGGGGACATCCTTATGAACCCCTAGAGGTACCAGTAAGCAGAAAAAAAAAGAGAAAGTTGTTGTTCTTGTTCACTTATATAAGAGATCATAATGTCATTTGAATTATTGTTTTTATAGGTTGATTTTAGAAATCTCATAACTGTAAGTATACAGTAAATAGTTTTTTTTGTAATAAATGAACTTACTTAAATTAAGAACTCTATTAGTCGTTTTATGTTTTTTTACCAATTTTCAGTTTCCTTATCGGCGAGTAGTGTGATATTTTTATTAGGTTAATGTAGCTTACCCTTATTAACCATTTTAGATTAAGAAAATTAAAACCCAGATTCTGATCAGCAGAAAGGCTGTGAGTAGGTGTTCACAGGATCCTATCAAGAGTTAGTGGAGGTTAATCTTCCTACAATATTTATTTACTATTTTCATATATTTATTTAGTTTTTTTTATTTTTTTTATGAACTGTTATGAAAGAAATATTTACGTAGTTTTATTGGACATTTAAATTTATGTATAAAGAATGTAAACCCTAATATTATTATACTATTTCGTATTAAATTTATGAATTTATTTTTCTTTCAGTTCAGAATTGTTTCAATTTTAATAAATTTTTCTTTTAAAATTGTTTATATATTATATAAACTATAAGAGCAATATATTCATATAGCTGCCTAAATTTGTATAGAAATTGAGATGTTTTTTCTAAGAGAAAAAAAAGAAAAAATTAAGTTGAATGTAAAAGATTGCATGGCGATCAAGTTCACTTTGGTCGATATTCAAAATTGTCGTGCACTTGATATCCGGTATACCTGGAAATTAAATATTTTCAATGGATATACTGCGCATTTGATGACGTGGTATATATATATATATATATATTTGAAATGTATTAAAAATTTAAGTTTTGAAATATTGAATTGAAAAATTCACAAGCATAGATAGCTTGTAAATTAAGAAAAGAATTAAAGGGTTGAATTTATGTTTCAAAAGTCTTTTTAAAGAGAAAACAAAAATATTATTTATATTTTTTTAAAAAAAAATAGAATTCAATTGTCTGTTCAAATTAATATGGACAATAAAATTGGTTGTGTATAGTTATATTTTCTGTTAAATAAAATTCGAAATTAAAAGGATCATCCATAGTCAAATAATTACAATTAATAACACCAACTCCAACTGTGTATTAAAAGCTTATTAATTGTTGTTTACCAATTCAATCCAACTTTTTTATACAGGAATTTATTTGATATGCCAAAAGTTTATTCCTATTTAATGTACTTTTACATATTTTTAAAATCAAAATTTATATTATTTAAAATTTGAATCAAATAGTTTTATTAAATTAGAATTTATTTATGATTATATAAAATAATTATTTTGTCTTAACAAAAAAAAAAAATCAGAGTGGACTATATAATACATACAAAATTAAATATGTCAAACCTCACACATAATCCCCATAAAAACTACAATTTATAATATAAATAAAAACCCTCCATTTCTGAAACTAACCATTTTAATTTTGATGGGTAACAACAACTAATCAAATATATGCCAAAACTATATGAAATTTACTTTTAAGTACATAAATTTTCTTTTGTATTATATTATATAGAATTTTTTTTTTTTTTCCTTACTCAATTAAATGAATGTGTAGTTTTCTCAAAATAATGTATGTATACACACACACACGTAAATATAAAAAAAGTATAAAGTGTGTGGCATAATTCAGTAGTACCAATTAATAACTACATTGAAACAATATAGTAGGATTGCACGAAACATTAAACAATATTCTTATATACTCCAAATTCTAAATACATTAATAAATAGAGGGAATGAGGAGCTCACACAAATTAATTAACAAGATTAAATCTTATATCCTATCCAACTCCCAAAAGTAATTATTCCAAGACGCACTCACTTAAAACACTAACTAGTACATAGTGGACCGGCTATCATGTATACTTATAAATGAATTATATTAATGTAATGTTCTCATATGCTAATCTATAATATGCTTCATAATTTTTTTTTTAAATTTAGTTCCATTTTTTTATTTTATTTTATAATAATAAAAAGAGCGCTTTATCATATAGTGTTTAATTATTTTCTAACATTTATTATAATATTAAACTGATTTTTTTTTTTATATATATACATACAAATTAAACGAAAAAACATAAACTTAATTTTGCTCAAATTAATTTGGTCTACCATATCTCTCAAGAATATTCTTTTGCTATTTCCTACTTTTAAAAAGTTTATGCAACAACAA